AGGTAAAAGTGATGAGAAAATAATCAAACTGGAAGACATGGAGAGTTCCATACCTATTCTTGCAGATTCAAAACTAGATTCTAATCTGGAATTAAGGAAGAATTGCTATCTGAACCTACATGACCAATCTGAGGATGAAGAGGAGTATCCTACCTACCGCATTTCTACAGAAGCTGACCGTGAGCTCCGTAAAATAGGGCTTCTGGATTCTACTTGCAACATGCAAGACTTCATTATTTTGAAAGATTTCACTCTGGGTGGTTTGGAAACTAATACTCTACCTTTTGCAACTGATGACTTACGTTCAGATGTTCATAGTGAGACTGGTGAGGACACGGATGTATTTAAAAAAGCACTATTTGTACCTAAGAATAATGATGAAGTTGGCAAAGACGAATCCCAGATTTTCATAAATGCGCCATTCAGAAGCAAAACACTGTCAACTGGCCCTGGCACATGCTCACAGTCTGTTCCTTCAGTGCAAACAGATATATTTGATTATCTTCCTTTTGAAGAAATTCCTGATAAAACTGAAAGATCCTCTGTAGAAACATGCCTATTAAGTGCAAGTACAAATGCTGCAGAGGAACTTGTGCATTCACCTAGGGAAGGAATGATATGCAAGACCAGCAATGTGGCGCAAAAAGGTGAACTACATGGGGAACAGCAAGAGCTGTTGCTGGGTGAACCTTTAGAAGCCACTAATCTTTTAAAGTTGCAGAAACCTGAATTGTTTTCACATGTCCATTCTGTATTAAATCCTTTTAGTCAAAATTGCTATTTTGAACATTTAGCCTGTAATAGTGAAGGAAGTAGAAGTTACCAAAACCAGGCTTTGAGAGATTCGGGACAGGTACATTCAGATGGGATAGTTGATGTGGAGCAGCCTGCACGTCCGGATTCTTCCCAAAATATGGACAATGATGACCCATTTTCTGCTGCACCATTCCCAGGGAAGGCCTGTGCAAACACTGAAACAAGTGGCTCAAAGTAGGCTGTATAAATTGGTACCCATCAGATTTTTTTTTTTGTAAGCATGCATTGAATGTGGAAAACAAATTCAGGGAGATTTTGTGCCTACAAGTACGAACAGACTTTATGAAGAGCATGAAGTAAAACCTGACTATCACTGTACAGGTTTATATATATAGAATATATATTTCTTTACTATTTAATTCCAATAAATCTTTGCAATAGCAATGGAGAAATGCCAGAATTGCTGATTTCATAGCCAGGAAGACTATTCAACCCATTCCATTGATGCTAACTTTCTGGAAAAGCTAGTGACTGGGGCACATTCCTCTGCGTTTTCTCCCATATGCTCAATTTATGAACTTATTTACTTCCCTTGTGCAAGTTATTTCACATTCCATTTTAAGCATACTTGCAGGTAGGGCATTTCATTAAAAAAAATTACTCTTCCCTTTGTTCTTTTAATAGTGATCTTCAATTTTTTTCCACCACATCTCCAACTTTTTAAAATTTCATTTACTGATAATTGATCACTTGCTTCCACCTCTAACATTAACTGTCTCTGCCAATATTTTAGCCATTCTGCCAAAACCTTCACACATGCCTAAAGCAGTGCTCTGTTAGCTGGCCTTTCATCCAGTGTTCTGCCAAAAACTTTAGCCAGTCTGTAACTCTGCCAATAGTACTCTTTGCCATGCAGCTATCATCACTGTCCTTGTTGACCCTGGTCTCCTCATGCCTTAAACATCAGAATTTTCCTATTTAAATCCATTCATCACCTAAATCCCCATAAAGCTTCCCATTCTTTGAAGTCTAGCCTTTTCCCCAAACCACTCAACTACTCACAAAAACCTACTGCTTGGCTCAGCTTCGCATCTTCACTTTTTGGGTTATTTGTTGGTGACACATCTGTGAGGCACATTAGATCATGTGTTTTCCCCCCTACTGAAGGTGCAATATAAAGAGGAAAAAAAAGAACATGCCTGTCTATTATGGGGCAATTGTACCTGGTAACACCACACCTGTGACAACTTCTAATACCAAAGGTTTAATATTTTAGACTGGAGCCTAGACTGGTTCCCCTGACTTGCCTCGGCATTATAGGATGCGTGCTATTAGGGTCAAATGCTCTTTCTATTGGATTCCACTCTTAATTTTATAGCCAGTAACCTTATCCAAGTCCTTTCTACCTACTTGACAGAAAAAAACCCACTAGTTTATATAACACCATTAACAAAGTAGAGCATTCCAAATCCATTCACCTAAATGTTATCCAATAAAATTTGACACTGAGCCTCAGAGGATCAAGGAGGTAGTTTTAAAGGAGCTAGGTAAGGTGGAATAGTTTACGGAGAATATTTCAGAGTTCAAGGGCATGGTAGCCAAAACATGACTGCCAATGGTGGAGTGTTTAAAACTGGGCATGCTCGAGAGGCCAGAATTGAGAATTTTGAGGTGGGCAGAGATTAGACACAAGGAGAAGCGAGGGCATGGAGAAATTTGAAAACAAGGGTGTGGTTAAAAACGGAGCAGTTGCCTAACTAGAAGCTTACCTGGGCCAGTAAACAGAGTTATGGATAAATGTAATTTGGTTCAAGTTGGGATATGGGTAGCAGAATTTGGGAGAACAAAAATGATGGAGAGTGGAATGTGAGAAAAGAAATAGAATGTTTAAATAGCTTTAGACTTAGCAAATGGAGTTGTTTCTGGCAGTGTGCAATAAGGTGATTTGTTTGGATCTGTGGTATGATGTTTGTCTTGGGCTTAAATATTACATCAAGTTTCCAAATTTTTATGTTCTGCTTCAAACATTTCCCAAGGACAGGAATGGGAATCAAAGACAACTTCTGTTCTTACTGCGTTCCATGTTGGTCTTCCTGATAAAGCAAACTTATTGTGAAACTTGAAAGGGTTCAGAAAAGATGTACAAGGATGTGTTGCCAGGCTTGGAGGGTTTGAGCTATAGGAAGAAGCTGAATAGAATGGGGCTATTTTCCCTGGAGGTTTGGAGGCTGAGGGGTGAATAAAGTTTTTGAGAAGACTTGTAGCTCGGGTTATGGTTGTCAATTTGTTCACCGAGCCGGTAGGTTGGTTTGCAGACATTTCATCACCGTACTAGGTAACATAATCAGTGCGCCTCCGATGAAGCATTGTTGGTCTGTCCCGTTTTATTTATGTGGTCCGGTTTGATGTGGTGGTTGGCCTCATTTCCAGTTCTGCTTCATAGTGGCTGGTAGTCAACTCTGAACTCCATCATCAAACATGGAAATAGACCCCATATACCAACCACTACGAAGCAGAACCGGAAATAAGGCTGACCACAACATCAAACTAGACCATACAAATAACAAGCGGGACAGACCAACAACACTTTATCGGAGGCACACTGATGATGTTACCTAGTATGGTGACGAAACATCTGCAAACCAACCTACCAACTGAGAGGCAAGGATAGGGTGAATAGTCAAAAGTCTTTTCCTAGTGTAAGGGAGTCCAAAACTAGAGGGCATAGGTTTAAGGTGGGAGGGAAAAAATATAAAATGAACCTAAGGGGCAATATTTTCACGCAGAGGGTGAAGGGTGTGTAGAATAAGCTGCCAGATGAAGAGGAGGAGGCTGGCAGAATTACAACATTTAAAAGGCATCTGGATGGGTACATTGAATAGGAAGTGTTTAGAGGGATATGGGCCAAATGCTGGCAAATGGGACTAAATTAATTTAGAATATTTGGTCAGCATAGACGAGTTGGATTGAAGGGTCTGTTGGAGATAGTAGGAACTGCCGATGCTGGAATCTGAGATAACAAAATGTAGAGCTGGATGAACACAGCAGGCCAGGCAGCATCAGAGGAGCAGGAAAGCTGACGTTTTGGGTCTGGACCCTTCTTCAGAAAATGAACGTTGGACTGTTTTCCCTTTCTGCGTAATGTTTCCAGCCTTTACAATCAATAGTCAACCAGAATTAACTAATACCATGACATTATTTATTGTACTATTCCTTATTTATATACTAGAATGCAACCCAGTAAAAAAAACTTTTTATTTTAACATTTTGAGCACCTTTTCTCTATATCCAGGATACTCAGTGTAATCTGCTGCTGCTCCTGAAAATTAATACACTGTAGTAAAGTCAGGATGAATACTGATAGCCACACAGCGATTACTTAAAAATCAGCAATTGTGATTATCAGGCAAATGTTATGCTAGTTTGAGTTTCTGAATAATGTCAAATTGAAAATTCAAAATAATGTAACAATGCACTAAAAAATGTGATCCGTAACTTTGCTTCAGCAATACTGTTAAATGTCTTATTTGTGTTGACCCAGAACACAATGCTAATCTGTTCAGTACATGTAGTATTCAACAATGCAGTACTGTGGAGTTTTGGATTCAGTTTGTATTCTTTATAAGTCTGAAATCAAACTGTTTTTGTTCATGTAGCAAAAAATTCAGAACTTACTTCCTGCTGAACTACTAGGACACAAAACTGGTAGAAGATTGTAGATAGCGTTATTCGTCATTTATGATAAACCTGCAGCAATGATGTCCCATCTAGTGCATCCTACATTAGAGCCCAGTACATGGACTAATACCTTTGGCCATGTATAATAAAGACAAATATTTCATTGCAATATACAATGATATCAATGTAAACCTCTAATGTAAGTTACAGCTTTATCTATGATTTATGAGTTAGCAACACAACCATCTTCTATGACAACTAGATTCTTTTCTTGGGGCCTAAACCAAATTAAAATATAAAATACAGCTTGTGTAGTGAAAATATATTGAAATGCAATGTAATGGAACATTAGAGTTTTCTAGGCATTATGGAAAAGTGGTAGACAAAGAAACACAACTAACTGAAAAGTCTTTATTGAAGATGCAACATTCATTATTATAAACATTTTCAAAACCATTCAAGTAATATCAAAAGACAAATGGTTTAAATAGCAAAAAACAGACATATTGCCTTGATAAGCAAATACTGATTTAAGCAAACTCTACCTCCAGGTAAACAAGGTTGGAGGGAATGAGCACAATATTTCAAAGTAGACCAACTGCAAGAGTTGGACAAATTTGGCACAAGGAGCTTTGCAACAAAACACCAACCACGTGAACAATAATAGAATAGGATTTTGTGTTGTCATCAATCTCAAATCATCTGTACGAAAAGCATTTTTTCACATCCGAGGGATATTCTGTAACGACAGAGCTGTTGGAACAGGGGTAGAACAAGTGCTATGAAACTGGGATAGCATGGGGGTGAAGGTGACATACTATTTGTAAGAATGGGCACCACCAACCTACCTACCTACCAGCTCAAAGGGAAGACGAGTAGCAAAATTCTGTAATTTAGCCATTCCATACAATTCAAAACAATGATTTTAGCTTCATGGCTGCAGTGATAAAATGGACATGCAGAGTTTTGTGACTGTTGTAACACAACCGAAGATACCTAAACTTCAAATTTTACTGCAGGTCAGAGAGTATCTGTTAGAGTCTGGTCTTATTTCTGGAAAATTGTTGATTCTTGCACGGAGTTTCTCAGCTTCACTATCATAGAATCAGCTATTTTGTAATCCATGATCTCTAGATATTTGTCCATTTTATATCAAATCCATTTAGCAGATTGCATACATCACAGCTAAGAGTGTATCCTTGTGTATTACTAAAACATGGCTATGGTTACACTGTATTAGAACAAAGGTTGCAAATTTTTCTTCAAATAAAAGGTTAATCTTGCCTGGAGTATACAAGATTTAATTTTGCCAATTTACATAGTGTGGTTAAAGTAAACTATATATTGGAAACTCGCACTTCCAATTATAAGACTTAAGTTGGGACACTCTTTAGGATCTCTGCTGGCTATGGTACTGAATCCTGAAGAAAATTCAGGCTTAGTACAAGACTAATGCACTGTGGGTTAGCAAAGTGTATAAACGACATTCCTATTTTACATTAGCCTTTCCAATGAAAGCCAAAGATTTTCCAAGAAATTAAAGCATGCATCCAAACAGCCATTTATGCCCTAAGTATTACTGTAACCATAATAGAATTTCAGCTCCTTTTCCATTTGCTCTTCAAGTGAATGGGAATATAAAACCACTTGCATATTCAGCATTTCCTGAAATTAGTTTCTAATACTTATCAACACACGTGGGCCAAAACAAAATTGTAGAATAAAACATTACATAGCAGGGATATAATAACCAAAGATTAACATGTAATTTCCCCTTTTAGAAAAATAAAAAGTTGAGCAACTTTCCGCTCCTTCCTCTGAAAATTTAACTCCCACATAAATTTTCTACAAATGAATTAATTTTACTAGACCAATTATGAAAAACCTTTTTAAAATGGTCAGTGCACTTTCAAGTGAATTGGTTACTTCACAACATAAAGCCAAATTTAGTGATTATTGAACTTCTTATCACATTAAATATCAGGAAAAAATATTACTGTTAAGGAGCAGCACAGGTTAGACATGTAAACATTTAGTTTGCTACTTTGCATGCAGTACAATTGCTTTTCTGTCCTCTAGTTATAATAAATTTGCAGCATACATGTTACAGTACATATTAAATCATTGCTACAAAACGTAGAACAATGAACAAGGCAGGCATTATAATGCACCTCAAAACAATTCAATACAGTTTGTATTTTACAAATACATGCATTCGCTTCCAGTTAAAAGGCATTTAGTTGTAGCTGCCTTTACTGCACCATGAATCTGAGTAGTTACTGGCACAATCCAAGTGTTAGAAAAACAGGCAGCCATTGGTTTAGCTGCTTAGAAAGGCAGCTTCATGCTAAGTCTGAGCAACTACTGACGAGGTGCCACAGTACCATGATGTACCACAGGACAATCTTCAAACTTCCAGCACGTAATCGAGACACATTCACTTTTTTTTTTAAAAGTAAATTAGAAGGCCATCATGCAGTTGATTAGAAGACTTGTAGAACTGAAGAATTAATTAGTAGGTTTTTTTTGTTCTTAATTGCAAAGCAGTCCTCTTGAGGAAATGCTGGAAAACTTGTAACTTAAGAACTTATTCTGTTATTTTTAGACATGGCTGTTCATGTCGATAATGCATTATATGAACAGCAGTCTGATGCCACCAATAGAACATTAAAACAACCAAGAAATGCCACCACTGGTGACTACAGCCAATGTAATTCAAGTATCCACCTAGAAAACAAGAACTCCGATTAGAAAGCAAATCGCAAAACCAAATGGATGGAATAACTAACCATCTTCACATTACAGATTGTCTTTAAACCCAGACATGTATCGAATCACCCTCAATTCCAAACATAAATGTACTTCAGCATGCCAAGGAACATGGTCGTATGTTTCTAAATTCTACACTATCACTGAACTGATAATATTCTTACAAAATACTGCAGATGCTGGAAGTTTGAAATAAGCAGAGAACACTGGAGAAGCTGAGCAGGTCTGGCAGTGTCTGGAGTCCTAGCCCAGTGAAATTAACAAGTATGCCATCTTCTAGACCCATTTACACCCTACTCTGTGCCAACATCAAACCAATTATGGAATTGCTACTGCTGACCTGCCTGAGGTTGGCTGATAACAAATGAACTATAAACTGGATTTTACATAAAATGCACTAATTACACATTATCCCTTACTTTCTATTAGATGAATTGCTGATGAAAAGTCTGAATTTTCATCCTCCTTCTGTAGGTAATTGAACCAAGTGTATTGGATAACCCTTGAATATATCCTCCTTCTAACCATACAGAAATAGCAAAACAGAATGAGTAAAAATCTAAAAGTCTACTCCATCACACTGTGCCCTTTACTCGAGTGCAAAAACCGAATGAGCAAGGCCAGTAGAATACAACTTAAAAAGATCTCCACTCAGATTTGGCCTTTACCGTGCTAACCCAGTCTGGTTTATAACTGAAAATAGATGACAATGTTTATCAAGTATAAAGTTGAAATATAGATACCCAATCAGCAGACCAACAAAGCAATGACGTTCACAGCACACGAGAGATGTTGAGGCGCTGTGCCTGTCATAATTAGAACCAGGGCCAGGTGAATCTCTGACTGTGAGATCCCTGATTGTCCCAGGTTAACAGCCCCAATTAGGGAGCCCTGGCTGACAGATACAAACAGGAGATTCAGAGAGGCTGCTCTTCTAGGGACTGGCCCTGAGCTGGCTGGTGAGAGTCTATGTGCTGTCCCCATGTAAATAAAAGGGTGACTTGGTGACAGGATACCAACCTCTGTGCAGTTACTTCAGTGCCTGTACCAACTTTATTTAAAATCTCATTTTCTTACCTTACCCACTGTCTTGTTTTTCCTCCAGTTAAAATATCAAATTGCTTCTCTCCTCTGCTTCAAAAATTATTTCCAATATCACACCCAATTGCTAATGAGGATCAACGACCTTCTTCATTGATTCCCTACTGCAGGAAACCTTTTGGTCATTCAACCCTTCAATAATGAGTTTTTTTTTGAAAACCTCTTAGTGCCTCTATCCATTATCCTCTCATGTCTTCCTGAGCCTTTTACATACCATTTATCGACAATAAAAAAGTACAAAGAGTTTGGCCAACATCAGTATTGTGGCCTTTTTATGCAAGGTTTCTCCAAGCACTGAGTGGAACTCATTACATATTCTGCCTGAACTTTGCTGATGATTAACTTCAGCAGGAAACAAGTCAAGTCAATCCACCAAGATACACAAAAATTAATTCGAAATGGACAATATTTAAAACCTAGACGTTCGAAGAGGGTCTGTAGTTCTGAAACAGCCATAAATCTGTACAGTCAGCCCCAAAATATCTTTGATTAGTCGTGTGAATCAACATGCCTTAAAAAAAAAGTACAGCTACAGTCCGATTAATAAGATGTCACTGACAACACCAACATATTCCCCAGCCCTAGTAAAGAGAAAGAAAAATAATTTGCATTTATATATCACCATGTTTGGATGTCATAAAATGTTTTGTTTCAGATGAAATGTGTCTAAACGGTTACTATTGTTGTAATGTTGTCAATTCACATGCTAAAGTTTTTACCAAGGAGTAAAGATATTCTGCAGTTTACTTTTTGGAGGAATTGTCTGAGGGTACAGTGCAGTTTTTATTTCCCCTGGGATGTGGACATCAATGGAAGGTCAACATTTGTTACCTATCCCTAATTACCCTTGAATTAAGTATTTTTTCAGGGGGCAGTTAAGGGTCCACCACATTACTGTGGATCTGGAATCACATGTAAGCCAGACCAGGTAAAGATAACAGATTTCCTTCGCTAAGGAACCAAATAGGTTTTGTATTCACGTTCAATGACTGTTTCATGGTTGACGTCACAGAGATTGGTTTTCATTGTAGATTTTATTAATTGATTTCAAGTGATCATGGTAGGATTTTAATTCACGCTCTAGGGCATGAGCTTTGGGATTATGAGTCTAGCGACATTACCACTATGCTGCCATCAGCCCCTGTATAATTATGTAGAATCATAAACTTTAAAAGAACTCAATTTTTATAAACGAATGCATGGGATGTGGGAGTCGCTGTCCGGGCCAGCACTCATTGCCCAGCCTGATTTCCCCTTGGGCAAATGGTGACCAACAACCTGCCAAACTGCTGCAGTCCTTAGCATATGGGGGAACAGTGAAGGAATGGCTATATAGTTCCAAGTCAGGACGGTGAGTGGCCTGGAAGGGAGCTTGCAAAGCGGGTGGTGTTCCCATGTATCTGCTGCCCTTGTCCTTCTAGGTAGTAAAGATCATAGGCTCGGAAGGCGCTGTCTGAGGAGTCTTGGTCAATTTCTGCAGTGTTTCTTTGAGATGGTACACACTGCAGCTGCTGGGTGTCGGTATGGAGAGAGTGGATGTTTGTCTATGTATCGCTGATCAGTTTGTCCCGGATGGTATGTTGTTGGAGCTGCACTCATCCAAGCAAGTGGATGAGTAAAGAATCTCACAGAGAATGAATCTCAAATTCTTATTTGCCTGCGCTGCAGACACTGGCAACAACTTTAAACAAATTCATTTGTGCCGGAGGAGTTCTGCTGTAATTTACTTGAAGACCCTTACAGCAATCCTTTTTATTCTTAAACTGTTCAAAACTGCACCAGATTGTGGCGTTAGTTGAAGATTTTCATTGTATTTTACTGTGTTGTTCACTGTAAAATACAAATCACAATAAATCATTCAATTTGATGCATTCATTGGAGGCACATTCAGCCAGCTCGGTGGTGGGAAATATCACAGAGAATAGTGATTAACCAATCCCATGGCCAGCATTGCTAGATCATGGCCTGCAGTAAGGGCAGATTATAATGAGGAAGAGATTGTGAGTTTCTTCCCGAAATTAAGACCATTCTGATACAAAGGGAAAAGCAAACTGGGTTGTACACTTTGGTAACTTGAGCATCTCAACAGCTAATCATGAAAGGGAAAAGGATGATGACAAGTAATGTAACTAAACACTATTATGCCATGCCAATACACACAGGAATTCTTTATCCAAGAGGTTTACATGGAGATTAATGAACACTTTCAAAGACATTTAAACCAAACAACACACAGGTGAGGGGGTTGAATACTTCAAACAAAGGATTACCCTATACTGTTTCAATAAATAGATTACTTTATGAAAAAAGTATGCATTGCTTTCTCAGAAGAAAACAAGTTAGATCTTTACTGTCAAAGGTCCACCATTTCAGATCTCCTACACAGAAAGGAACCCTGTTACATTACCAGAGATAGTAGGAACTGCCGATGCTGGAGTCTGAGATAACAAGGTGTACAGCTGGATGAACACAGCAGGCCAGGCATCAGAGGAGCAGGAAGGCTGACGTTTCGGGTCTGGACCTTTCTTCAGGAATTTCTGAAAAAGGGTCTCAATCCGAAACATCAGCTTTCCTGCTCCTCTGATGCTGCCTGGCCTGCTGTGTTCATCCAGCTCTACACCTGTTACATTACCATTAGCTAATGTTCCGGTGTGGCTTCACTGTGTATGATTAGTGCAGTTACCCTGGACCAGTCAACAAGCACCAACTTCCATTTATAAAGTGCTTTCAATCTAGTAAAACTTTCCAAAGTATTTCACAGAAATATTAAACTAAATCTGACATTCAGCCTCAATAGGAGGTATTAGAGCAGAATGTGAAAGGCTGGTCCGGCTGGTAGGTTTTAAAGATTGCCTGACAGGAGGAGAGAGACGTGTGGGAGGGAATTCCAGAGCTTAGGACCTCCGTGGTGATGACTTAATCCAGGGCTTTCTGAGCCAGGGAGATGATGCTGATAACTTTGTCTCAGGGTACAGCAGCTTTAGGCCAGCTGTTTTCTCATACCTACACTCAACAGTAACACTTGGAGGTCAGTAAACAGAGCTTTGTATAAGTGCAGCTCCAAATGGAGATGAGGAATGAACCAATTATTCTATTCTGGAAATGGAAAGCTGATGGATATCAACATATCACTGGTGGTAGATTCTAGACATTAGCATTGTTGGATGTGTGAGGGAATCATTGTGCACTCATACTCCTAATAGGCACACACTGTGTTCATATCTCTACACTGGAAGATAAAAGCTTACACCAGTACATCTGAATAATTACCCTTAAAATATTAAATTAGTCTTATCTATTTTTCATTCCTACACTGGTTTTCATACAGACATTACAGTGAACACGAGATACAATACATAATGTTTGTATACAGATTACAAATACCAAAAGAGAGCCAGAGACACTTACCAGGAAAGTACCTCTCGGGTACCTTACTGTAATAAAACAAAAATGCCAAACTTGCTAGTAGATACATCACACCTACTCTCGGTGCAAACACCTAGCAAGAAAGGAGAGAGATGATTCAGAAAACGGGGAAAGATTCAGGAATAAGGGACAAATTTAACAACATACCCTGTTTAAAAGGCATTGTTTTTACCCAGAGTTTGCATTGTTGGGGTCCAGGAGTGTAAAGTCTGCCTAGTTGCCACTCATTTCTCAAGTGACCTGTGATACTGTTGGTATGGAACGGCACTGAAATGGGTATACAATGATATTTGGAGAGAGACACTGAATGCCCCCCTGGATGGAGGGTATCCCGCATTGGACATGGATGACTGGAGGCAGCCACTTCAAACTATCTGTAGCAATGCAACAGGTCAGATGCAAACTTTGTAATAGAAACCAAAAAACCTTTGAGTTGCAGCACACTGTAACTACTTATCAAATCGAGCAGAAATGATCCTGCATTCCTTTGAAAATATGCAGATGAAGACAAACTCAAATACGTCCAATTTCTCCATCCATAAGATGGATTAAATTCTGTGTCAACTCAATTTTGATAGTGAAATCTTGGCTTTAAGGCTCAATGGGTTGGTCCCTCGATAGATATGACACTGTCTGACATCCAGCTCTGGATGGGGACACAGGAGTTAGTTGTTTTCATTCTCTCCCGGGATGTGGGAGGTCATTGGCAGGGCCATCATATGCACCATTTCCCATTGGCCCTGGAACAGAGTGACTGGTTGGGTCATTTCAGAGAGTGGCTAATAGTCACCACACTGCACTAGCTCAGAGTCCAGACAAGGTTGTTATACTCTGAAAGATAACTGTAATGAAGTCTGCATTTTTGAGAGAATTATACTTCAGTCAGTCACACTCCAGTCGTAACTTTTTAAATCTACCTGGTCTGAGATGCTAGGAGCACATGGGACTGAAAGCTGGGATTCCATTGATTACTAACTTCCCATATTTATGCAACCAATTCACATTCAATTAACCCTTCGTCAACATATCCACTTCCTATTCCCTCATTCAAACAGGCATTCCTTCAGGCCATATTAGGCAATAACAGATTCCCCTTTGATTTTAGGAGAAAACTATAATAACAAGTAAAAAACAAAACAATAACAGATTATATATCCTCTTAAGGTTAAAAAGAAAGTAAGGAAAAAAGAACAGGAGTAGGCCATTCAGCCCTTCAAAGCCACTCCACCATTCAGTTGGATCATGGCTAATCCAACACATCCCTCATGTCCACTTTCCCGGAACTCTTAATTCCCCGACTAAGTGAGAGAGAGAGAGACAGAGACAGAGTGAGACAGAAAGCGCGAGCATGTGCGTCAGTGAGCGAGCCACCGAGCGGGAGTGTCAGCGAGTCAGCAGGCGCGTATGTGAGTGAGTGAATGAGTACGGGGGCACGGCAGGGAGTGGGAATGTGTGTGATTTTGAAGTCACTATATCTTTTTGTGAAATCCTACTTTGACTAATCACAATGAGGCTAACATTTTTCCAGTAAGATTGCATTCAGCCTGATTTCCAATGCAACGTATGTAAAATCAGCACAAGTGTGCATTCTGCTTTAAACCCATTCATGACAACGTAGAGTCTGCTGACCATGGAACCGTGGGGCAACTGCAAATATGTGCTTACTGGCAATCTTGTAACTACTGTGAGGAGGGCAGTGATAACTACGAGGAGTACGGGGATTGGCTGGAGGAATGGGCAGAGTAGCAAGTGCAAATTAAGAGTACTTTTTGGTTTGAAGAAGGAGAAAAGATAACATAAAATAAAAGGGCATAATTCGAAAGGGTTTGCAGGAACAGAGAGACATGGGATGTATGTGTTCAGATCATTGAAGATGGTATGGAAAGTTGAGAAAGGTTAAAAAGACATTGTGCCTCTATTTATAAAGCCCAGAGTACAAAACCCAGTTAAGATTTGCATTTACAAAACTCTCATTTGGTGCCAGCAGGAGTATAGTGTTCAATTCCCGGCACTGCATTTTAGGAATACATGAAGGTTTCAGAGATCATCAAATCCCTACAAAGTGGAAGCAGGGCATTCGGCCCATCAGGTTTACACTGACCCTTGAAGAACATCACACCCAGACCCACTCCCAATCCATCCCTAAAATCCTACACTTCCCATGGTTAATCCACCCAGCCTGCACACCCCTGGACACTATGGGCAATTTAGCATGGCCAATCCACCCTAACCTGCACATCTTTGGGCTGCGGGAGGAAACCGAAGCACCCAGAGGAAACCCACGCAGACACGGGGAGAACGGCAAACTCCACACAGACAGTCGCCCGAGAGTGGAATCGAACCCTGGTGCCTGGCGCTGTGAGGCGGCAGTGAGCCCCTGGTGCAGAAACAGTACAAGGGTACGGTTCCACGGATGAGGGGCTTCAGTCACATGGACAGCTTGAAGCAGCTGGAGCCAACCTCTTGGCAGAGGGAATTTCACAGAAAGGTTGGAAATCACGAGGGACCTAGATACAGGGAGACACTGAGATCCATTGGCTAAAGAGACAAGAACCAGGGGACACATATTGCAGAACAAGAGAAGGTGCATTTTGCACAGTAAGTGGTTTGGATATGGTAGGCACTTCTTGAGGCTGTGGTGAAAGCAGAATCAATTAATGCTTTCAAAGAGGGAAGTGGATAAAAACCCGAAGAGAAAGAAGTCGCAGAGCTATGGAGAAAGGCAAGAGAGTAGGAATAATTGCTTTCTCTAATACAGGGCTGGCACAGACACCACTGGCAGAACCGTCCCTTTTATGCTGTAACTATTCTTCATTTCCATCCTAATGCGGAAATCTAACTGTTGTTTAGCTATGTGGTGGGTCAATGCAGGAGAGAACAAGGATTGAACCTGGAATAATCTTGGACTAATTTTGAATAATCTCTGCACAGGTCTGCTGAGTAAGCCTACATAATCTTTCAAGATTTCCAATAAATAATCATACAAAGAATTACAACATAAAAATCATATGGTTTACAGATTTGGATGAATTACAAAAGCGTGCGGCAATCCTTCCTACCTTAACAACTGGCTCCCCAATTCCTCCATTCTGAAATATCCAGTGAACGGTGGGAATTAATCCATAGGCCGCAATAAAGCAGAACAGCAAAATGCGCAGCTTGTGACAATGCTGAGAGGCATAATGCGGATGGATTTGCGTGAGGAACATTACAAAAATCATGGCCAGCACGGTTATAAGGTACACTTGTCTCCAATACTGTGTCCAGAAGGAATAAATACAAAATTATTAAACACTGTTAACCACAAAAGTGCTTTTCCATTCATTTAAATTATGCCATTTATCATACAATTGCTACTGTATGGAAGCAGGCCATTTGGCCCATCGAGTCTCCAAACAGCACCCGCCCCCCCAGACCTACCCCGCTATCCTATCCCTGCATTTCCCATGGCTAACCCACCTAGCCTGCACATCCCTGGACACTATGGGAAATTTAGCATGGCCAATCCACCTAACCTGCACATCTTTGGACTATAGGAAGAAATCAGAGCACCTAGAGGAAACTCCACACAGACAGTCGCCCGAGGGTGGAATTGAACCCGGGTCCCTGGAGCTGTGAGGCAGCAGTGCTAACCAATGTGCCACCATGCCGCCCTTATCAATGACCAATTTTTCACACGTTAATTTACTTGCCTTCCTAACATCTTGCATGCATCACCATGAGAAGTTGCAAAAACTAAACATTGCTTGGGAATTCAGGTGCATAAATGTCACAAACAGGTGCAGAAAATAATTAAGAGAGCTAATGGAATTCTGGCCTTTCTATCTAGAGGATTGGAGTTCAAGGATGTTGAAGTTATGCTAGAATCAGACCCTACCATGAGCAGATCTGGGCACCACACCATAGGAGGATATATTGGCCTTCAAGGCAGTAAAATTTAGTTTTAAAAGAACAATACCTGGACTTCAGGGGTTACGTTATGAGGACGGATTATACAAATTAGGCCAGTTTTTCCCTAGAATTTAGCAGGTTGAGGAGTGATCTGATCGAAGACTTAAAGATATTAACAGGAAAAGTCAAAGTAGATAAAGATAAACTATTTCCACCAGTTAGGGATTCTAGAACTGGAGCGCATAGTCTGAGAATTAAAGCAGACTGTTCAGGAGAGATGTTAGGAACCACTTCTACAAACAAAGGGTCACAGATATTTGAAACTCTCTTCCACAATTGGCCGTGGATGTTGGATCAGTTGTTCATTTTAACAATAATTTATCTATCTCATATTTAAACAAAGGTATTAAGACCAAAGGCAGGTGTATGGAGTTAGGCCACAGATCTGCCATGATCTCATTGAAAGGCAGAACAGGGTCAAGGGGCTGAATGGCCTACTGATGTTTCTGTAAACTGTGGCTCTAAACCTTGAAGTAATTCTGTCACTTTTGTGCGATGATATATTTTGATAATTTAATTATTTAAATAATTTAAATTGACTCAGATCAGAACACATTTCTCAACGTCAGATCTTTGACCAATAATTCCACAGCTTAGGCATGCAATACCAGCTGAATCTGATTCATTGGTTGAAGTGGTCAAGTTGCAAAGTTCTGTAGATGTTCTTCAGTTAACACGCATCCTAGAATTACCTCACCCTTCAATCCTGTTTAGGTGTCCATCTCCCTCAAAAAGCACTCTTTAACGTTCCACTGTGTGCAAGACTGTAGGTTCTTTGTTTGAATTTTAAAAATTGGTTATGTACAATGTGTTCAGTGATGTTTTTACACATCTCTGGAGTAAGTGGGACTTGAACCCAGGCCTCTCTGGTCCAGGGGCAAGGGCATTACCAATGTGCCACAGGAGGGCCCCAAACTTTAACCTGGGTTCAGGATCACCAGACGAGCTGGACATTACCACTACACTGCTGCCTTCCTGTAGATTCTTCTGAAGAGGAACTTCTCAGTTGGTTTCCTGCCTTGGTTATCAAGTGGTTTCATGTTTTGGCGCCCAGAGTTGAAGAATGATTCGGCAATACGAAAATTGGAGGTCCTTAACAGTTCTACTGAGCAGCTCAGATATGCTGTAGTCTGAACTGAGTACATGTGCCTGAGGGGTTGTGCAATTGTGAGGAGCAAGAATATCGCCAGTTTCTGCCTATTACTAATCATGTGTCGAATCTTACTGCTTGCTGTAAATTGCATTCAACACTTGTGCTGGATCCTGTGTTTGTATCATATTGCATCTGGTACTCTGACTGCCACACCTTACTATAACTCAACGCAAGGCTGAGGCACTTAGAGAGATTTGACAAGATAATCCATAAATACAAGCCTCCATTTTAGATGTTGCAGGATAATTAACATTGCTAATGGAGATAGCCTAAAAGCAACTGCGCCTAGAATTTTTTTCATCTTGAGACACTGTGGTGAGAAGTGTGTGCACCATCAGTTGCTTTAAAAGGTCTATATAATCATGTATCCTACTTACTAACTGGGAGGCTATTATAATTCTGTGCAGGACCTTTCCAACTTCATAAACATAATTTTAAAAAAAAAAATGAATACACACCTCAGCACAATAGAAGGCATAAAAGACCCCTGGGACATAACATCCCAGCATTCCTACGGAGACGCCAGCATAATCAAGAGCAAGCCACTGCTGACTGGTCTTCTCTGAGTGGTGGCAGCAGAATAGATGGTATCCCGCTGAGCACAACATGCAGAACTGTGGACAGTATCAAAACCATTACAAAAATGTTAAAATATCACAATATCCTTGAATTAACAGAACTAACATTATCGCCAGCTCGCACTGTTTCAAAGATCTGTTGACTAGAACTAATTTCTTTAATCATAAATTTCAATCAGCAGATAACGTTTTATTGATTTACTTGATTGCATTGGGGGTTACTCAAAGCCAACACACAAGATGTTAAAGAGATGTTCTCAAACTTAGTTACTCTTTTACACAAGAAATAAATTCTAATTTAGAAAGAATCAGTGGATTTAAATTCAAACTGTGTTGCTCTGTGCATTCTGAATTCTGTTAATCTTTCTCTCCACCCCCACTTCTCACAGTATTCCCCAACACGCAATGGTTATCACATTCAGTTTAATTTAATAATAATTGGGATTTGGTTCATCTGTTTCAAAATCCAGCTAGTAGCTGTAGAAGTGGAATTTAAACAGAATGGACTATCAGAGAAGCTTGAAGCACAGAGAAAGGCCATTCACCCCATAGTGCCGCAGCCAGCTCTTTGAAAGAGCTCTCCAATTAGTTCCACTTCCCCCAACTGCCCTTATCAATAGCCCTGCAAGATTTACTCCAAATGAATGTTTCCCTGTCAATTATACAAACTGACTTTTGAAAGGTATTCTTGAATCTGCTTTTCAGACAGTGTGTTTCAGATCATTAAACTCACTGTGAAACAAAAACCAATCCAGTACTTTGGTCAATTTTCTTAAATCCAAGTGCTCTAGCTACTGATACAGCTGCCAATGGGTTTCTTTCTCCCTACTAAGTCAAGTAAAACACCTTGTGAGTGTGAATATCTCCACTCAATTTTAGTTCCTTTTCAAACTAAACACCTCTAACTTTCTCTGCCTCTAGGAGAGAAATGCTCCTTCTCAAACTACTCGAATTCAAATCCCTCAAGACCATAAGACATAGAAGCAGAATTAGGTCATTTGGCCCATCAAGCTGCTTCACTATTCGATCATGGCCGATATGTTTCTCAACTCCATTCTCCTGCCATCTCCATGTAACCCTTGATACCCCTTACAATCAAGCACCTATCTATCTCTGTCTTAAATACACTCAATGACTTGGCCTCCATAGCCTTCTGTGGCAATCAGTTCCACAGATTCACCATTCTCTGGCTGAAGAAATTCCTCCTCATCTCAGTTCTAAGGGGTTGTCCCTTCACTCTGAGGCTGTGCCCTCGGGTCCTAGTCTCTCCTACTGGTGGAAACATCTTCTCCATGTCCACATTATCAGTATTCTTCAACTCTGGTATCGATTCTAGTAAGGATATCAATCTAAACGGGATGCAGGAGCAAAGGGACCTGGCTATATAAGTGCCTAAGTCACCGAAAGTGGTAAGACAGGTTGAGAATGCAACTTAAAAAGCATACAGTGCTCTCGAATTTATTAATAAGGGAATAAAGTACAGGAGTAGAAAGTTCATATTCAACTTGAGTAAGTCACCAGTTGACCCTCAGTTGAAGAGTTTCTACACTTCTGGGCCCAGCACTTTAGAAAGGACAAGAAGACATTGGCAACAGGGCAGAAGAGGTTTATGACATCGATTGCTGGAATGAAGAATTTCAATTATGACGATAGATTGGAGAGGTTAAGACTGTTTTCTTTGGAAAAAAGACAAGTTAAGAGTTCATTTGCTGGACATTTTCAAAATCATGAGGAGTCTGGATAGGATAACTAGGGATAACTTGTTCTCATTTGTAATAGGGTCAAAAATGAGCTGGCGTGGGTTTAAAGTAATTGGCCAAAGAAGCAAAAATGACATGAGACAAAAACATATTCACAAAGTACTTGATCAAAGTCTGGAATGCGCTGCCTGAGAGGGTGGCAATGGTGGCTCAGTGGTTAGCACTACTGCCTCACAGCACCCAGGGACATGGGTTCGATTCCAGCCTCAGGTGATTGTCTGTGTGGAGTCTGCACGTTTTCCCCTTGTCTGTGGGGGTTTCCTCCCGGTCTCCTCCCACAGTCCAATGATGTGCAGGTTAGATGAATGGGTCATGCTAAATTGCCCATAGTGTCAAGAGATGTGCAGGCTAAGTGGATTAGCCATGGGAAACGTAGGGTGGTGGATCTGGATGGGATGCTCTTTGGAAGGTCGGCGAGACTTGATGGGCCGAATGGCCTGCTCCCACACCATAGAGATTCTATGAGAGAGTGTGGCGAAGGCTGCTTGAATTGAGGCATTCAAAAGGGAATTAGACGGTTATTGAAAAATTAAGGAATGAGCAGGATTATGGGGAGAACACAGCTGAATGGCCTGAAGTGAATCATTCATTTGTAGAGACAGCACAGGCAGGATGGGTAGAACGGCCACCTGCTGTGCAGTACCAATTCTGCGAAATCTCATCTGCACCCTCTCCAAGGCTGTTAGATCCTGTGCCAAGTGCGCTTCCCCGAACTGGACTCAATATTGTAGCTGGTCGATGCAGTACAGTAGTTATTTTTAAATCAATCTGTTCAGATGTATGTGCATTGCACAGGAATCAATTTTGAAACAAAGCAACAGACAACAATAGCTTCATGGAGGCACTTAAAAGTTGGAAAAGTGCCCTGGACACAGGCCCATTCTGCACTGCATACACCTGTCCATCCAGGATCAGAAATCCAAGCATTGCCATTTCTTCTGCCACCTGAACTGAAGTAGCTTTATTGTCACATGTACTCACATGAAGACTGTAAATGTTTGTTAGTCGCCACATTATGGCACCATCTTAGGTACAAAGGTACCTAGGTACCTAGGTACCGATTCTTAAGAACAAATTCTTAGGGGAAATAAATTAGAAAAATATATATAAAAAGACTGGATGCCAGCCTGTGTCCCCGTCCCATGATTTTGCCTGCTAAAGGATGTGCTCACCTGAAAACAAAAGCCGAAAATAATGAAAACCACGTAGTCATCCCTCGTGCTGTTCGATGACGGGAGCAGGAAGCAAGTATCGTGTAGGACAATGACAAAGAACAGGAAAAACCCCAGCAAATGGCTCCAAATGTTCACACTCTCATTGGACAATACAAAGAGGCTGTTTTAAACAGGGGCAGATTGCAAACAGAACAGCATAAGTGAAATGTGCATGCTTGTTACATTTTGAACACCAGATTGAGATTAGACAGGCACATACTATCGGCATGAAAGATATTTTGTATACAGATCACCTGCATTCTCAAATAAATGCCATTTGGGAAAACAAACCATCACAGCAACCTCCTGGTCAGGAAGCTAGAATTTGGAGGAGTCTGGATCATGGGGGATGGTGAAGCTTTTGAGTGATCTGAAAACCAGGCAGATTTTAACGTCAACACAGTATGGAGCTGGAGGAACACAGCAGGCCAGGCAGTATCAGAGGAGCAGGAAAATTCTGAGGAAGGGTCACTGGACCTGAAACATTAACTCCGATTTCTTTCCACAGATGCTGCCAGACCTGCTGAGCTTTTCCAGCAATTTCTGTTTTTGTTCCTGATTCCCAGCATCCGCAGTTGTTTTTGCTGAACTTCAAACAACTTTTCAAACATTTTTTTTTGTTTCTGATTTTAAAAGACATTGGCTCCTAGTTCAGCAACACAATGTCGATTAGCAAGGAAAGGACTCTGGCAACTGAGTTTTGGATCACCCTTAGTTGATGGATTGTAGAATATAAGAGGCCAGGCAGGAATATGTTGGAACAATCATGTCCACACGTCAGATGCATGGATGGGGATTTCGGCAACTTCTTGCTTCTATTCAGATCACTTTACAAGTGTTCCCCACGCTGCAGGAAAATCACCGCACTGCTCTTTTTAAACAATTATTCTTTGAGGGGGTTTCAAAGTAATGGTGGGGACGGGGAGGTTGAGGGTTCTGGAGAGGGGGTATGTAGGCTTACAAAATAAAAAGAATATAGCAGCATTGCAGGATAGCTATTTAGGTCATTATACCCAAAGCATACAAATATAAAAGAAAGCAAATAGGGTTTAAAAAAAAAAAGGTCAAAAGGAAAATATGGCAGTTAAACAGGTCAAAATTAATGGCTCTTTATTTAGTACTCAGAAAAAAATAAATAATTAAGCAGCACAAATAGAGGTTAATGGGTATGATCTTACAGCCACTATAGAGACAAGGTTACAAGGAGATCAAAGCTAGGAACTAATAATTCAGGGTTATGCGACTTTTCAATAGCAAGGGCAGCTTTGATAGCAGAGGATAGCATAAAAATGACACCAAAAAAAGAAATGTAGAATCCATATGGGCCAAGGTAAGAGAGGCAACAAACAGGAAGACGACACTGGCAGGTGTACAGCATCTATACTGTAGGACAGAGAATAAGTCAGGAGGCAAATGAGGGCATGTATTAAAAAAGCAGTATATTAATTTTGGGTGACTTTAATTTTCATGTGGATTGAGAATACTAAATTGGCAGAGGTAGCCAAGAGAAAGAATACACAGAGTGGACTCAGGATGGCTTCCAGGAATAATACATTAAAGTTCCAACCAGGGATCAGGCTATTTTGGATCTGTGCAATCGAGCAGGTTTAATAAATGATCTCAAAGTAAAAGATCCTCGAAGGAACAGTGACCATAACAGTGACCCGTCCCCACCATTACTTTGAAACCCCCTCAAAGAATAATTTAGCATTCCATTACAGAATTATACTTGTTTGGAAGCAACTGAGCTAAACATAAACAGGGGTAATTATACTGGGGTGAGGGTGGAATTTGCTAGAGAAGACTGGGAAAGGAAGTTAGCAGAAAAGACAGTTGATGAATAATGACAGACATGTAAGAAAACAATTAACTTCTCACAATAAGGATGTAGCCCAGGGAGTAAGAATGATTCTTAGAAGGGGATAAATCAACCACAGTTAACCAGAAAAGTTAAGGATGGTATCAAATTAAAAGAAAAGAAAAATGCAATGTCATAAAGATGAATGAGAAATCAGAGGATTGGGAAAGCTTTAAAAACTGACAAAAGATGGCAAAAAAAAATGAAAATAAACTATGAACAAGTGATACAAAAACAGGCAGGAAGAGCTTCTTTACTTATATATAAAGGAAAAAAGGGGCCAAAATGAACATAGGTCCCTTAGAGAATGAAGCTGGGGAAATGGCAAAGGGATTAAATAATTACTTTATATCAGCCTTCAGGTAGAAGACACTAATGTCCTTCCAAAACTACTCAATGAAGAGGCACATTATGTATAGATGGAGTTAATGGTCTTTTCTAGTCTTGAAATCCCTCATCCTAGGGAAAAGGCTAGGGGGCATATTCTTAAGGTGAGAGGAGACAGATTTTAAAAAAGACATGAGGGGCAAATTTTTTACATAGAAGGTGGCTTGCGTGTGGAATGAACTTCCTGAGGAAGTGGTGGATGCAAATACAGTTACAACATTTAAAAGACAAGTACATGAATAGGAAAGGTTTGGAGGGATATGGGCCAGGATAGGGACTAGTTTAATTTGGGATTATGATCAGCATGGACTGGTTGGACCGAAGGGTCTGTTTCCATGCTGCATCACTCTGTGACTCTATGGACAGGGAATGAATACAGTAATTACAGCTAGAGAAAATATATGAGGGGAAACTGATAGAGATAAAGGCCAATAATTATTTAAAAAGGGGGAGAAACGTTATTTAGGTCAGTTGTTGTAACATCTGTTGTTGGAAAATGTTAAAGCCTACTATAAAGGATGTATTACTTTAAAAGAACATAAATAGATGTAATATAATCAAGCAAAGTCAATATGACTTTATAAAGTGGAAATCATGCCTGACAACTTTATTAGAGTTCTTTGAGGTGGTAATAAGCAGGATGGGGGAAACCAGTAGATGCAATATATTAGGATTTCCAGAAGGCATTCAAAAAGACACTGTACACGAGGCTACTTAATAAGAGGCCATAATGTTGGGGCAGTATAATCACATGGATAGAGGATTGCCTAACTAATAGGAGATAGAGTCGGGATAAATTTCAGGATTGTGATCAATCCTAATTAATAGGGTGTCACAATTATTTACAATATATGACTTGGAAAAGGGAATTGAATGTAACAACACCAGATTTAGGTGGGACAACAAAACGGTGAGGCTGACAGAATCTGCAATGGGATATAGGCAGGCTCCACAGGCAGACAAATATTGCATTCGGAATGTAATGTGGGAAAATACAAAGTTAAGCAGTGTGGAAGGAAGAATAGTGGAGCTGAATATTATTTAAATAGAGAAAGATCACATAAAACTGCAACACAAAGGGATTTGGGAGTCCCTGTGCATAAAACACAAAAAGCTAGCATCCAGGTTCAGCAGGGCCTAGGGTCTTGTGGCACAGTGGTAGTGTCCTTAGCTCTCTGCCAGAAGTTCAGGACCCACCTGCCCTGAGCTGTGTCACACCATGTATGAACAGGTTCATTAAAATAACTAACTCAAGGTCAGTGGCAATAAGGAAGGCAGAAGGACTGTGGGCTTTTTTATTTAGAATCACAGAATCCCTACAGTGTGGAAGCAAGCCATTCAGCCCATTGAGTCCACACAGACCCTTTGAACAGCATCCCACCCAGACCCGCCCCACCCCTTAGCCCTGCATTTCCCATGGCCAATCCACCCAACCTACACATCCCTGGACACTACGGGGAAAATTAGATGGCCAATCCACCTAGCTTGCACATCTTTTGGACTGTGGGAGGAAACCAGAGCACCCAGAGGAAACCCATGCAGGCACAGGGAGAATGTGCAAACACTAACCAGACATTTGCCCGAAGCTGGAATCAAACCCAGGTCCCTGGCACTGTGGGGCAGCTGTGCTAACCACTGAGCCACCATGCCGTCCTCGTTCAAAGGGAATCAAGTATAAAAATAGGGGCATCTTGCTAAAACTACACATGGTACTAGTTAGATGACACCTGGAATACTATGAACAATCATGTCCCCCTTACCTAAGAAAAGATATGCTGGCATTGGAGGAAGGGCTCACCAAGTTGATTCTGGGCAATAAGGAGAGGTTGAGTAGTTTGGGCTTGTACTCATCAGAATTTAGTAGGACAATGTCATAAAAACATAAGATATTTAGGGGGCTTGACAGAGTCGATGAAGTGAGGTTGTTTCCTCTTATGGGAGAGCTGAGGGTCACAGGGCAGAATCGAGCATTAACGCAGAGATGAGGAGGAATTTCTTCCCTCAGAGACTAGTGAATCTGTGGAATTCTTTACTGCTAAGGGTTGCTGAGGCTGGGGTCACAAAATATATTTGGGATGGAGATTGATTTTTAAGAGAATCATGGAGCGTGGGGTAAAGGCTGGAAAGTGGAATTGAGGATTATCAGATCAATTACAAACACATGGAATGGTGGCAGGGAAAGGATGGGCCGAATGGCCTGCTTGAACTGCTTTGTATAACTGTCATCGATGCGGCCATTTTTTTTTTTTTTTAAGGTTAGCCTTTACTGCCAATCCAATAACAGAATTGAATGGAATGGTTTGCTCAGCCATTTCAGACGGCAGTCAAGAGACAACCACATTGCTGGGGGTCTGGAGTCACATGGAGGCCAGACCCCAATAAAGATGGTACATTCTCTTGGGCGGGACGGTGGCTCAGTGGTCAGCACTAAGTGTTCGACTCTACCCTCAGGCAACTGACCAGCCACCATTAAGCCAATAATTTCCATTTCAGAGACTTTGGGAAAGCTCATTCAGGTTTTGTATACCTGCCGATGTTCAGTGATCCTGTTGGAAGTGCACATACATGTGTGCTGGGCAAGAGCAGGATTACTAAACAAATGTGTACAACTGAATACCTTCATGAAATCCACCAGCTAGGCTCAGACTATAGGTGAGATTGTGTATCGCGCAAGGGAAAGAATACCCTTATTTTCAAATGAATAAATATTTAATTTATTAGAGCATCTTTCCCTGTTATATCAGTGGCGCGGTGGCTCAGTGGTTAGCTCTGCTGCCTCACAGCGCCAGGGACCCGGGTTCGATTTCACCCTCTGGTGACTGTCTGTGTGGAGTTTGCACATTCTCCCCATGTCTGCGTGGGTTTCCTCCGGGTGCTCCGGTTTCCTCCCACAGTCCAAAGATGTGCAGGTTAGGGTGGATTGACCATGCTAAACTGCCCCATAGTGTCCAGGGATGTACAGGCTAGGTGCATTAGCCATAGGGAATGAAGGGTTGCAGGGAAAGGGTGAGGGAGCTGGGTCTGAGTAGTGCGGTCTTCAGAGGGTTGGTGCAGATGCAGTTGGCCAAATGGCCTCTTTCCACATTGTAGGAATTCTACGATTCTAACTGTGCCTGATATATGACATTATAGGTATGTTGTGGGACACAGATTTGAGGAGGAGGGAAAAGCTCCAAAATTTTAAAGTACTGGACCAGAAAGTAAAGAGAAAAATAGGGTTAGTTTGGGGTCAGAGGGTGGGGGCAGAGTTTCTATCAGAGGTCAAGACCAAGCAGTGGAGAGTGTGAATCTGCTACTACACATCTGGGATGGTAAACTAATACAGAGCATAGGTGGTTTGTTGCACAGTCAAGCAAGTTGTTAGATTTAGTCCGTTAGAATCAGAGAGGTGAAAGATACCATGACACTGTACAGGCAAGAATAAGTAGTAACGTTACTCCATTCGACAATATTTATGGGCATAGCTGGCAAGGCCAGCATTTATTATCTATCCCCATATGCTTCGCAAAGTGTTGGCAAGTTCCCTTCTTGAACAGACTGAGTAGTTCTCCAGGCTATTTCATAGGATAGTCAAGAGTCAACCTTATCATTGAGTCTGCAGTCCAAGAGACCAGAGTGGGTAAAGACAGGAAATTTCCTTTCCTAACCACCATTAATGAACTAGATTGCTTAGAAAATCAATCTGGGAATTTCACCAGTAATAACATGAACTTTTTATTCCAGGTATATTTAATTCGCTAAATTTCTCAGTTGCTGAGGTGGAACCTGAACTCAAGACATAGAATCATAGAAAATATAAGCAGGAGGAGGCCATTCGGCCCCTCAAGCCTGCTCCACCATTCAATATGATCATGGTTGATCAACCAACACAGTACCTGTTCCCGCTTTCCCCCTATATCCTTAGATTCCTTTAGTCCTAAGAACCATGTCAACAACTTTCTTAAAAGTCTTCACAAAGTTTTGACTGTAACAGTTTCCTAAGGCAGGGAATTCCACAGGCTCACCACTTTTCAGGTGAAACATTTCTCCTGATGTCTCTCCTACTCCATACCCTTAAACCGTGACCCCTGGTTCTGGACTTCTGGAACATCCTTCCCGTGTTTAGCCTGTCCAATCCTGTTAGAATTTTATGGGTTTCTGTGAATGCACCCCCCACTCCTCATTCTTCTAGACTTCAGTGAATACAGTCCTAATCGATCCAGCCTGTCCTCACATGTCAATCCCATCATCCTAGGAATCAGTCTGGGAACCATTTTTGCACTCCCTCCATCACCAGAACATCCTCCCTCAGATAAGGAGGCCAAAACTGCACACAATACTCCAAGTGTGGTCCTATCAAGGCCCTGCAGCAAGGCAACCCCACCTCTGTACTCAAAACCTCTTGCTAACTTTCTAATTGCCTTCTTCATTGTCTGCTCGACCTGAGTGCTTGCTTTCAGTAACTGGAGTACAAGGACACCCAACCCCTTCACATCTCCCTCTTTCCCAATCTATTATCATTCAGATAATAATCTGCCTTCCTTTTTTGCTACCAAAGTGGATAATCACACATTTATCCACAGTACATTGCATTATCATGTGTTTGCCCACTTACCTAAGTTGTCCAAATCACACTAAATTTTCTTTGCAATCTCCTCAGAACATAGCTTCCCACCCAGCTTCGTGCCATCTGCAAAGTTAGAAGTATGACATGTAGTTCTCTCACCTAAAGGCATGAGGTCACACATAGACAAGGAAATCTCCTGGACAGGGTGCAGAAAAAATTTACAACAGTGTTACCAGGACTGGAGGGTTTGAGTTATCAGGAGAGGCTAGACAGGTTGGGACCTTTTTTTCATTGGAACATAGGAGATGGAGGGGTGACTTTATAGAGGTTTATAAAATCATGAGGGGCACAGAAATGGTGTTTTCCCTAAGCTATGGAAGTTCAAAACTAGAGGGCATATTTTTAAGCTGGAATGAACAGCCAGAGGAAGTGTAGATGCAGATACAGTTACAACATTTAAAAGACATTTGGACAGGTACATGAATAGGAAAGGTTTAGAGGGATATGGGCCAAATGCAGACAAATGGGATTAGTTTAGCTTGAGAAACCTGGTTGGGATGGACAAGTTGGACTGAAGTGTCTGTTTCTGTGCTGTATGACTATTTTCAGTATCTCATCCAAAATGAGATAGCCAAATAGACTAGGAGTTTTATTTACGAAGCAGCAATTTGCAGAGGGGGAGCAGAGAATGGGCAGAGCACTCACTGATGGATTAATGGCCTGTTATCGATGGGTCAAAGGTCTTGTTGTGCAGTGAGTAGCGTCCTTGTTTTAGAAGCAGAAGTTCGGTGGTCGACTTGCACTTCCACAAAGGTTTGTTCAGGACACGACGAAACAGATTGAGTTTCGACTTGTAAATCCCCCAAACAAACAAGTGCTAAGAACAGGAGAGATGTCCAGAATAGCGCAGGCACAGGAAGGATTCAGTTTAGCTCAGTTAGCTGGACAGCTGGCCTGCGAGAGTGAGACCAACAGTGTAGGTTCAATTCCTGCACTGGCTGAGGTTACCATGAAGGACTCTCCTTCTCAACCTCCTTCCTCACCTGAGACATGGTGACCCTCAGGTTAAACTCACCACCAGTCCTCTCTCCTTCTGTCTCTGAGAAAGCAGTCCTCTGGCCTTTACCTTCAGGTCTGGGTGAGGATATCTAACGCCCTTGTCCTCCAATTATTAAAGAAACCGGTGTTTACATTAGTAAGACCACACAAAATAAATTGCCTGTAACTTCATTCCTTAGTTCTTTTGCACAATCAGATTAAACCAGTACTTTTGTCCTTGATATGTCATTTGTGACTATCCAAACATACCTTCTGATGCATAAACTTGATGGTAAGTAGGCCCGATATCCATCAGTGATGTAAGGATTGCCCTTTAAAAAGGTCGGAATTTCTTCATAGCTGTAAAGGCGAATTCCAATTTGTGAAAAGAGTGGCCAGTAGTTGTATCCACCAAGTTCAACACGATGTAAACCCTTCAGGATGTTGTGAGTCATCTTGTTCTGATAACCTAAATCTGAGCAGGAAAAAAGGCAGGTCATTTTCATTGGGAACAACTGGCCATGAAAGAAACCACTGCAATATTCTGATCATATTTCAGGGAAGACAATGGCATTTTAAAATAAAAGTACACTTTGATGAGGCATAGATTGCATATCTTCAAATGCCCTCGAGACATTAGTGGTGAGCTACCTCCTTGAAGTACTGCACTCCATGCAGTGTAGCTACATCAGACGTGCTGTTAGGAAGGGAGCACCAGGACCTTAGTTAATGAAGTGACAGTGATTTAGTTGCAGGACAGGAGAGTGTGTAGCATTCCCTTCAATCTACTGCTCCTATCCTTCTTCCGCTAGAGCTCACAGGTTCAGAAGTAATGATAATGTCACTAGTCTACTGGACTAGTCAGGTTCAGGCTAGTGCTCTGGGGATAACAAGGTATGGAGCTGAAGGAACACAGCAGGCCAGGTAGCATCAGAGGAGCAGGAAAGCTGACATTTCGGTTCGCGCCCCTTCTTCAGAAAGCTCAGTGCTCTGGGGATCTGCATTCAAATCCCCAACATCCGCTTGTGCAAGTTAAGCTGACTTAATAAATCTGGAATATTAAAGCTAATCTCAGTCATGATGACAATGCCAACTGTCATCAATTGCTGTTAAAAAAAAAACCATCTGGTTCACTAATGCCCTTAACGGAAGAAAATCTTTACCTTGGATGGGCTACCCACAGCAATGTGGCTGACTCTGTTGCCCTCTGAAATGGGTGTAAGCTGCTCACTTCAAGGGCAGTTAGGGATGGACAACAAGTGCTGGCAATAAAGCAATGCCCACACAGTCCTGAAGTTTGAAGGCATGCATTCTATTATAAGACTATGCAAATCTTATATGTATCATTATCAGAAAAGAAACAGAGGAGCCACTTATGAACCACAATGGGCTGAGGACTAACAGTGTCTACATGACTGGACAATTTAAAAAAAAGCACACAGTTCTAGGTAAAGATCTGGAGCTGATCGTTATTATTTACATAATGTAGATAGATGTCTAACTGAATTATCACTTCAGAAGTGATGCTTAAGCCAAATCAAAATATTGGTTTAAGTTTATAGAAGGTTCCATGGTAAACAGAAGATCAATCTGAACTGGAAGTCACAATATAGTTTACTGTCAGTGAATACACAAAAGATACATTAATCACAGTGGCTACTGCAACATCACTGTATGTTTGATTTAAATAAGCTGGCAATTATTACGGAGATTACTACTTTGGATATTTTCAAATACCATCAAGAGCTTTTACACTAATGACATGATGTCATGGATTCAATCAAGGAGGCAACCACATGTGTGCAGATGGATCATGGCAACCATATTTAGTGGCAGGATCCTATCTCCTAGTGCAGGTACAATGGGCCAAATGGTCTTCTATTGTGCCAGAACACTTTTATGATTTTGTTGGGAACACACACTCTGTAATCTTGAAGACCTCAATCAGATAAGATAAGATCTTCTCTTGTTCCAAGAAGGAAACTCCAAGCCTGTTCAATCTTTCCCAATCAAGCATAGCTTCTCGTTTCTGGTATTAGCCTCTAAATGCTTTTAAACCCCTTCGCCATGGCATCCAATTCATTTTCTTTTATAATACGGAGAGCAGAACTGTTCAGAGTGTTCCTAATGAGGTCTAGCTGAAATTCTATTCAAGATTAAAAACTGGATGAACTGCAGATGCTGTATATCAGGAACAAAAATAGAAGTTGCTGGAAAAGCTCAGCAGGTCTGGCAGCATCTGTTTTTGTTCTATTCAAGATTACCATGTTAAAAGCTGTTTCCACAGGGGAGCAGGCTGAACTCAGCTGAGACTCACTATAGTGCAACTGTAACCCGAGTGTTGCATCAAACCATTGGAGTTTCTCTAAAACTACCTGAGCTGAATCAAATGCTCAAACTGTGTTGGCAGTTCCAGTCCACACAACAAAGAAATAACCATGAGAGTAAAGAACACTCTTGAGCAGAACTTCTGACCCAAAGAAGGGTTAAGACACACACTTGTGGCAGTTACAGTGCTGTTTTCAGCCTGATAGCTGCAACACCAAAATAAAGCTCGACACCATCAAAAATCCATTTCTAATGTTATCACCTCTTGATTACTGTCACACCCCCTCCTCCCATATGAAGGTTAACTGCCACATCAGCAGATGCCCTTTCTCTTCGAAACATGACAGAAAAACGCTTCTGTCCTTTCACAGAGCCTAACAAGAAAGACCGATATGTGTAATAAATACGAGCGTTTTGCAACAATTTATTTTCAGCTTACTGTTCTTTACCAGTATATTCACAAAGATTACTCACAGGTTTTGAGGTCTTGCTCACTGTTGGAATAACAATACTCCATTGTTCAACCTCTGCTTCAAGCACAGAAGAACGAAGTGTCGATCTTTTTCCGATTACACTTTGGGAAAGTGCCGGGGACATTTTGCTACAATAAAAACATTATAAATACACATGAATGAAGTTGTCGGAGAGTTAAGTTCACATCTTGTCTGATCCATCCAGAGTCACTGTCCTTGCAAACTGGGCTCATCAATCCCACACAACAGGAGAATGGTTTGGCTAATGATACCAACCATTTGGAAATTTTTGATTGGATTATGCTCCAGTCACAAGATGAGGATTAGCATGGTTTCAGCATTTAACATGTGGGTTTTGTAAGCAACAACAGAACTGGGAAAACTTTAAATGCATCTGGATTAAACTACATTTAAAGCTTTCTACAACAGCCAAAACTGGACACAGATTTGTAAAATCTGCGAAAGGAAGAGCAAGCCATCCATAAAGGGGACACCATCAAGGATTGGAGATAGTAGGAACTGCGGATGCTGGAGAATCCGAGACAACAAGGTGCAGGGCTGGATGAACACAGCAGGCCAAGCAGCATCATAGGAGCAGAGAGGCTGACATTTCGGGCCTAGACCCTTCATCAGAAAAGGGGGAGGGGAAGGGGGTTTTGAAATAAATAGGGAGAGAGTGGGAGGCGGATAGAAGAGGGATAGAGGAGAGGATAGGTGGAGAGGAAACAAACAGGTCGAAGAGGCGGGGATGGAGCCAGTAAAGGTGAGTGTAGGTAGGGAGTTAGGAAGGGGATAGGTCAGTCCAGGGAGGACGGACAGGTCAAGGGGGCGGGATGAGGTTGGTCGGTAGGAGATGGAGGTGCGGCTTGAGGTGGGAGGAGGGGATAGGTGGGAGGAAGAACAGGTTAGGGAGGCAGGGACGAGTTGGACTGGTTTTGGGATGCGGTGGGGGGAGGGGAGATTTTGAAACTTGTGAAATCCACATTGATACCATTGGGCTGCAGGGTTCCCAAGCGGAATATGAGTTGCTGTTCCTGCAACCTTCGGGTGGCATCGTTGTGGCACTGCAGGAGGCCCAGGATGGACATGTCGTCTGAGGAATGGGAGGGGGAGTTGAAATGGTTCGCGACTGGGAGGTGCAGTTGTTTGTTGCGAACCGAGCGTAGGTGTTCTGCAAAGCGGTCCCCGAGTCTCCGCTTGGTTTCCCCGATGTAGAGGAAGCCACACCGGGTACAGCGGATGCAGTATACCACATTGGCAGATGTGCAGGTGAACATCTGCTTGATGTGGAAAGTCTTCTTGGGGCCTGGGATGGGGGTGAGGGAGGAGGTATGGGGGCAGGTGTAGCACTTCCTGCGGTTGCAGGGAAAAGTGCCGGGTGTGGTGGAGCTGGAGGGGAGTGTGGAGCGGACGAGGGAGTCACGGAGAGAGTTGTCCCTCCGGAAAGCAGATAAAGGTGGGGAGGGAAAGATGTCTTTGGTGGTGGGGTCGGATTGCAGATGGCGGAAGTGTCGGAGGATGATGCGTTGGATCCGGAGGTTGGTGGGGTGGTACGTGAGGACGAGGGGGATTCTTTTTTGGTTTTTATTGCGTGGACGGGGTGTGAGGGATGAGGTGCGGGAGATGTGGGAGACACGGTTGAGGGCGTTCTCGACCACCGAGGAGGGGAAGTTACGGTCCTTGAAAAACGAGGACAACTGAGATGTACGGGAGTGGAATGCCTCATCCTGGGAGCAGATGCGGCGGAGGCGAAGGAATTGGGAATAGGGGATAGCATTTTTGCAGGAAGGTGGGTGGGAGGAGGAGTATTCTAGGTAGCTGTGGGAGTCGGTGGGCTTGAAATGAATATCGGTTTCGAGGTGGTTGCCCGATATGGAGACAGAGAGGTCCAGGAAGGGGAGAGAGGTGTTAGAGATGGTCCAGGTAAACTTAAGGTTGGGGTGGAAGGTGTTAGTGAAGTGTATGAACTGTTCGAGCTCCCCGTGGGAGCACGAGGCGGCGCCGATACAGTCATCAATGTCATGGAGGAAGAGGTGGGGTTTGGGGCCGGTGTAGGTACGGAAGAGGGATTGTTCCACGTAACCTACAAAGAGGCAGGCGTAGCTTGGGCCCATGCGGGTACCCATGGCTACCCCCTTTGTCTGTAGGAAGTGGGAGGAATTGAAAGAGAAGTTGTTGAGTGTGAGGACGAGTTCGGCTAAGCGGATGAGGGTGTCAGTGGAGGGGGACTGGTCGGGCCTGCAGGACAGGAAGAAGCGGAGGGCCTTAAGGCCATCTGCATGGGGAATGCAGGTGTAGAGGGACTGGACGTCCATGGTAAAGATGAGGTGTTGGGGACCGGGGAATTGGAAGTTCTGGAGGAGGTGGAGGGCGTGGGTGGTGTCACGGACATAGGTAGGGAGTTCCTGGACCAAGGGGGAGAAAATGGAGTCGAGATAGTTGGAGATCAGTTCGGTGGGGCAGGAGCAGGCGGAGACAATGGGTCGACCAGGGCATTCAGGTTTGTGGATTTTGGGAAGGAGATAGAAGCCGGCAGTGCAAGGTTGGGGAACGATGAGGTTGGAGGCCGTGGGTGGGAGGTCACCTGAGGTGATGAGGTTGTGGATGGTTTGCGAGATGATGGTTTGGTGCTCAGGGGTGGGGTCATGATCAAGGGGGCGGTAGGAGGAGGTGTCGGAGAGTTGGCGTCCGGCCTCGGCGATGTAGAGGTCAGTGCGCCATACTACAACTGCACCTCCCTTGTCCGCGGGTTTTATGGTGAGGTTGGGATTGGAGCGGAGGGAGCGGAGGGCTGCACGTTCTGCGGGGGAGAGGTTGGAGTGGGTGAGAGGGGTGGAGAGGTTGAGGCAATTGATGTCTCGACGGCAGTTGGAGATGAAGAGGTCGAGGGAGGGTAGGAGGCCTTGGGGTGGTGTCCAGGAGGAGGGGGTGTGTTGGAAGCGGGAGAAGGGGTCAGTAGAGGGAGGGTTAGGTTCACGGTTAAAGAAGTAAGCGTGGAGGCGGAGGCGGCGGAAAAACTGCTCTATGACTGATACTTTGGTTAGGAAGCCAATGGACCTGGAAATCAAGACCTCAGGCACAAAGCTGCCACAATCTCACTGTTCACAGCATGCGTTCAATCTTCAAGTTTAAAAATTACAACTTCAAGCCACTACTTATTCAAGCACTTTAGACACAACATGTTTAAGAACCTGTGAACATGGGAGTTTTTCAGTTGCTAATGTCCTTATGCCAACACCACAAAACTTGTATCCAAAAACAACAGGAAACACAGCATGTCCTATTGAGAATAACCTGGGTTGGGGGAAATCAATTGAACAGCAGAATATAGCTTTAGTTCCTCTTATTTTCTGCTACTGAAAATCCAGGCATTCTCTGCTTAGGAATCTATAGCAAACTATTGATCTAGTGTAATTCAAGGGCAAGGCCACTTTATAAAAGTGACCATGCACTTAGGTATCAACACGCACAGTTAAAAGAGGAGGAGTTTTTGGTTTATTGTTTTTAATTAAATTTCTATCTTCTTTTAGCCTGTCAAATTTGACTTGGTTACAAGAGAAGAAAAAACCAAGGCACAGAAGGATATTCAGGACCACTGTGTTTATGCTGGATTTAACAGCTATCCAGACTATACCATTTTCTGTTTTTTAAATCCCTAGCCTTCAGACCACTGTATCTCGGGTGCATAGCCGAGTGTGGCTTATTGTTTCTGACCCTACCATACTTTCTGAGTTCCAGACACCCACCACCTTCTGGATGAAGAAAAGTTCAATTCTCAACTCATACTTCCACCAATTAATTTAAATTTTTAAATTTATTTACATGCACCCTTGCTAACAAACAGGTTGGATATGAAGAAGCTCCCTAGGCCCCTCACTTTTGTGCAGCCAAATTAATTCTAATCTCCGGTCCCGCCTCCACACCACTGCTCATTAACAAAAGAAACTAACGCCTAATTTCGGGTGCTAACATTCTCTCGTGATCCATTCTCTCTCAGCTGCCTTCACTCCCATCACAATCTTAGTTTCTTTGTCCAAAGTTGCCACTGTTGTTTCCCACTGAAAGCTTGCTCTGAAATCTATTCATAATATGCCTTACCATATGGAAAGTCAGGAAAAGGCTGGGTACCTGGTGACAAGTTCTTAAAATTTTAAAACAGAAACTGCATTCTGGTTTGCTTTCTTTCTCACCCCCGTCTCTTCTGAGGTTACAAATTCTGTACTGCCTCAAACAAAAATAGAGTGGCGGGGGGGGGGGGGGGGGGAAACCCGCACTTTAAGAGGAATCAAAAAGAGCGGGGGGGGGGAGGGGGGCCAAATCAGGATTCAATTAAAAGCTACCTCACAGTAACTCGCATCAACGGACACCGATGCAAAGGGCCCTCACACAACAGCCCGGAAAAGCTGGGCTAAAAGTGGCTGGGGGCAGTTTTCTGAAATGAGGCACATGTCCTTGTAAGGGACGGGCTTTTGTTTTTTCCCGTGTCCCCGGGGTTTGGGGAAGTGCCTGTGTTCTGAGCTGAGGGTGACAGTGAGAGGTCCCGGTTCTGAGGGAGTTGCGCTGTCTCTCCCCCTTTACCCAGCTGATTCTTACCGCACATTGTTTGTTTCGAACGCTCACACTCCTTTGTCACCGCGGTTGCTGCGCGACGTCTGGCAACTTTCTGTCACAACATTCTACGTGCGGAAGGCCACGTCACAGCACGCGCTCCACCTCCGGAGGCGGGTCTGAAAGCTGCAAGACCACCTCCCCTCTCAGGTTTCCATTCTGCAAGACTGCCCCCTCTCTCTCAGGTTTTAATTCTACAAGACTGACTCTCTCTGAGGTTTCAATCCTGCAAGACTCCCATTGTCTCTCAGGTTATAATTCTTCAAGACACCCTCTCTCTCTCAGGATTTAATTCTGCAAGACTCCCCCCACCCTCTCTCTCTCAGGTTTCAATTCTGCAAGACTCTCTGTCTCAGGTATTAATTCTGCAAGACTCTCAGGTTTTAATTCTGTAAGAGTCTGTCTCTTTCTCAGGTTTTAATTCTGCAAGACTCCCTCTCAGGTTTTAATTCTGCAAGACTCTCTGTCTCTCTCAGGTTTTAATTCTGCAAGACTCTCTCAGTTTTAATTCTGCAAG